TAAAAAACGAGTATGACTTCACTGGAGTCACTCTTGATTTGCCCCAGATGGAGTCAGAGGAAGATCTGGCCCTCTAACTGAGCCACAGGATAGTTTATGCTATTAAGGTTATCGGTTGAAACAAAAAGTTCAGGTGTATTTCACCTGCCTGTTGGATGATTGTAGAAGACTCTCTCTCCTAATCCACAAGATTAGTCCTGTTCTTGGCATACACATCTGTAATAAGAACAACTCACATAGAATCCTAGGACTGGAAGGGATTGTGAGAGCCCATTAAGTCCAGTCCCAGGCACTCATGGCAGGACCAACTACCATCTAGACCATCCCTTACAGGTGTTTGTCTAATACGCCCTTAAAAATCTCCAATTATGAAGATTCCACAACCTCCCTAGGTAATTTATTCCAGTGGTTAACCACCCTGACAGGAAGTTTTTGCTAGTGTCCAACCTAATCCTTTCACCCTAAATAATTCTTCTTTTTCCTTGGCCTTTATAAAAGATGCCTGGAAAATGGAGTATTTTTTTCCACAAAATATTTCAACTTTTTGATGAAAAGTCAAACTCCAGAATATTTTAGCTAAAAAACCAAAATAATTGGGACCGCACTGTTCAATATCTTCATCAATGATGTAGATATTGGGATAGAGAGTACGCTTATTAAGTTTGCAGATGATACCAAACTGGGTGGGGTTGCAACTTCTTTGGAGGATAGGGACATAATTCAAAATGACCGTAGCAAGTTAGAGAAATGGTCTGAAGTAAACAGGATGAAGTTTAATAAAGAGAAATGCAAAGTGCTCCACTTAGGAAGGAACAATCAGTTCCATACATACAAGATGGGAAGCGACTGTCTAGGAAGGAGCATGGCGGAAAGGGATCTAGGGGTCATAGTGGACCACAAGTTGAATATGAGTCAACAGTGTGATGCTGTTGCAAAAAAAGCAAATATGATTCTAGGTTGTATCAACAGGTGTGTTGTAAGCAAAACTCGTGAAGTCATTCTGCCGCTCTACTCTGCACAAGTTAGGCCTCAGCTGGAGTACTGTGTCCAGTTCTGGGCGCCACATTTCAAGAAAGATGTGGAGAAATTGGAAAGGGTCCAGAGAAGAGCGACAAGAATGATTAAAGGTTTAGAGAACATGACCTATGAAGCCAGGCTTCATGAACTGGGCTTGTTTAGTTTGGAAAAAAGAAGATTAAGGGGGGACATGATAGCGGTTTTCAAATATCTAAAACGGTGTCACAAGGAGGAAGGAGAAAATTTGTTCCTCTTGGTTACTGAGGACAGGACAAGGAGTAATGGGCTTAAAGTGCAGCAGGGGAGGTTTAGATTGGACATTAGGAAAAAATTCCTAACTGTCAGGGTGGTCAAATATTGGAATAAATTGCCAAGGGAGGTGGTGGAATCTCCCTCTCTGGAGATATTTAAGAACAGGTTAGATAGACATCTGTCAGGGATGGTGTAGACGGAGCTTGGTCCTGCCTTGAGGGCGGGGGCTGGACTCGATGACCTCTCGAGGTCCCTTCCAGTCCTATGATTCTATGATTCTATTAATTCAATTTGGAACTGTCACTGTGGAGCTTCATGTGAGAGCCTAAAGCTCCCGTTCTTCTTTACGGGATGGTGTAGCCTGTGGTTGGACTAAATCTCTCATGATACACTAACCCTTTTGCTCATGGTGCATTGTGTGTGGTGAAGTCTGCTTGGGAATCTGGCCTACAGAGGATAATAGGAACATGATGCAATGAGTCTGCAGTGCCCATGAAGCTGCGGCTCTGCTCCCCGTGTCCCTGGTCTGCTGGGGGGGGAGGGCACACTAGCTGCGCCCACCCCCCCCCAGCAGACCAGGTTTTTGTTGTGGACCCTGGGACAGAGCAACTGGGGCGCTGCCGGTTCGTCCTGCAGCGCCGCTCTGGGCACTACTGGACCAACCCAGCAGCACCCCAGCTGCTCTGCCCCGGGTCCTGATTCAGCCGCTGCTGGTCAGTTTCAGCAGCGGCTGACTTGGGGACGCCTGGGGCAGAGCAGCTGGGATGCTGCTGGGTTGGTCCAGTAGCGCCAAGGAGCGAGGAGCGGTGCTACTGGAGCACCCCAGCAGCACCCCAGATGCTCTGCCCCAGGCGTCCCCAAGTCAGCCGCTGCTGAAACTGCCCGCCAGTTCTGACTTACATACAGATTCAACTTAAGAACCCCAAGCGTCCCCAAGTCAGCTGCTGCTGAAACTGATCAGCGGCTGATTCCAGGAAGCCTGGGGCAGAGCAACTCGGCCTCGGGCTTCCTGTAGTCAGCGCTGGTCAGTTTCAGCAGCGGCTGAATCTGGACGCCAGTTCCGACTTACATACAGATTCAACTTAAGAACAAACCTACAGTCCCTATCTTGTACGTAACCCGGGGACTGCCTGTATAATATGTTGAAATTCACTTATTCCTGAGCATTTAATCAATCTAATAGGGAAAATATATGAAATAGCTCAATGTTCCACACTTCCATCTTTTTTTACGATATTTACACCTGTGCTATACATCAGCTAATCAGCCAGTCCAGTGCTATGTCTCCCAGGTCTTTTTATTGTGGTTTAAAACAACTAAAGCATCAAATTTAGCCCTAGGCTTATATTCCAACCAAATGCTGTATGGACAAAACTTTAATCCACTTTATGGAAACAATTTCTTAACACTTCATCTGTCAAAATCTACAGAACAAAATCCCTAACTAAATCCTGTTAACTCCCAGAGACCAGAACAAGGAACATTTGTTCACAGTTTGTTATCATTGTGTATTTTTACTACTCGTATATTGCATTTCATTTATATTGTGTAATTCAGGGAAACATAGCAACACAGAGGCGTGCATGTGCGATAGATCGAGGAAATGCTCATGCATATCTGGTATGTAGTACTTACGTGCAAGTTCTAATGGGTTTCCTCTCCTACATGTTAGACAGTCCAAGTACTGGCAGGGGAGTCCGCATAATACGTAAACAGTTTGCTAACAAACTACGTTCATATGAGAATGGAATCAAATATGATATTTATGATGGTCTTTGGATGTCTGAAAGATGCATTTATCTTCAAACAAATGATGGCTGTCCTCCCATTTACAACTTCTAGTTGTCTCCTTAAAAGCAAATGTAATGTGCTCTAATATGTCTGACCATCCTACATGATGGATAGCTCAGCCCTTTTTTTGTCTCATCAGACCAGGAATAGAAGCTGTTTCTATGAAATCCTGCCTTTGTTCCTTTTTAACATAATACAAAGAAAGGTCTATTAAATTCGTTTTGAGTAAATCATCTGTTCATTGGTTATACTTACCTCTGTCCTCCCAAAACGTCAAACACATAAGTGTTTGTATGTGCAGTGCACACAAACAACTAAGAAACATAATATACCTGTGAAGATGCATCTATATAAATGTCAAAGTGCTAAGGACAAATTTCGGTTTGCCCTTGGTTTTGTACTGCTAAATATCTTTGGAATGATCAATCCCTAAAGATATTCCTTTCCCGGAGATAGGGATAAGGATAGCCTTTGATGAAACTGTGATTGCTTTGCAGGCATTAAGTGCAGAGCTATGGAAGCCATTTCATGATAGACATGGGACCAACTCGCTCTATTTAAGTCAATACACAAAGTCCAATTGACTTCCATGGGAGAAGGATTAAACCCCTAGAGCTCTAGTTGTACTGTTTCTTACTGTGCTGTCTTCTAAATGCTGAAAACCCAAATGCCAGCTGCCCCTTTGCACCAGGGAGGAAGACTGGTCAGACTGGCAACGGAACAGACAGGCCAGAAAGAAGCAAGGTAGGGCATGTTTGGGAATGTAGGGCTGGGCCCCTTCTCCAAGGGCCCGCCATCTTCTATTGGCCATGCAGAGTGCGTGTGTGCTTGAGTGCCGATTCTGCCCCTTTGTTCTCCCCCATTAATTTAAACCTATTGGGGGCCTTCTGTCCCCTTCAGCTGCCCCCCCCCCCTTCCTTCTCTGTTGTTGTACTATGGGCACTTTGTGTTTGGGATGCTGTGAGCCGCTCTAGTCACTTACACTGGGGTCAGGAAGAAGTTTTTTCCCATTGAGCCAAATTAACAAAGAATCATGGATGCATAGTTCATTAAAATAGGAGTAGGACTTAGGGCTTGTCCACATGGTGGGCTAGGGCTCACCAGCTAGGTGTAAATTCTAATATGCATTACCATTTATTGCAAACTCTCCATGCATACCCTACCGGCACACACTATAAGTTCTTGTGTATACGTTGCTATGGTGTTTGAAATAGAGCTCTGTTAGTGCTCGTCCGCAAGGTTCACACCAACACACAGTGCATAACACATTGGTTCACATTAGAATTTACATTCAGCTGGTGCATACTTATGCACCATGTAGACAACCCGTTAGAACTTTAATATTAATCATTGAAGAAAGCATTCCTAATATTTATGTGTTGCAACTTGTAGCTGGCATCTAGTATGTATATATAGGCTAAAAGGGCACCTCCCAGAAGTAAAATAGACCTGGGATTTTGCTGGTGGACTTGGTGGCTGTTGAAAGGGGAAGCCTTTTGATACCTTCATCGTCCACGGCCAATGTAAGAGGCAGGAAGTGTTGCAGACCAGGACGCCGCTTCTCACGTCTTGCCATTCACGGCTAACCAGAACTGCGATCCTCCATCCCTGCGGAGGCGCAGATATACATTGGAGGTATGAGCCCACCACGGACTAACCCAGCGGACCGGATCCAGCCTGTAGGCTGGAATTTGTCTACCCCTGCATTAGACCCACTTATATGCCTGGTACATGAAAGATGGTAGAACTGGGATATATACTGTACCTCTCCAGTGTTAATAACATTGCAGCCTTACAGAGTCCATATGTGTATTCCTATCAATACATTTTCAAGCCAGACTTATTAACCAATAGCTGATTTTAAAAGTGTAATTATTTGAAACCTATTTTTAATAAAAAACAGAAACTCCACTCACAAATCGTATCTACCTTTCTTTCAGGTTCTACAAAGGACTTAATTGAAACTTGCTGTGCAGCGGGACAACAGTGGGCTATAGACAACGGGGAATGCACAGAAATCCCAGTCAGTGGGGCTGATGGTGATATTTGCAGGTAAGCAAACCAAAGTCAAAGTAATCCTGAGAAATGCAGTGAACATTACGTTAGAAGAAGGCTAATAATTGCATGAACTGGCCAATCTCCAGGAAGCTATGACCAAGTCCATCCTTCAGACTGCTGTCTGACTGACAATATGTCAGAGCGGAATGGGAAGAGTTTTCCTCCCAAGATCTAGAACCTAATGTAAACTGAAGTTTTTAAAGTTTTTTTTCCCCTGCTGCTCAAAAACAAAGTCTAGTGTTTTGTGTCCTTGTTGTACCCAGATGGGTGGAGTTTTTAGGTTTTAGGAGAGTGTAGCCAAATGTTCTTGACACTTTTGTATGACACATATTACATTATTTTCATGACTTTTTATTAAATGGTAAATTTGACAACTAATCAGGTAGGTGGGAGAATCCAAAGACTGGATTCTGATGCCCTTACTCACCTGTACCAGTATTCCTTAAATATCCCCATGGCAATCAAGGGAAATGCTTGCCACACAAGGCCCTGTGGTAGGTGAATGAGGATAACTGCACTCTTCCCAACATGGAGGAGAAAAATATGACAGTAAGAAGGGAGCAGGAAAATACAGATAACATGTGAATTTAACTCAATTTCATATTTTCTCTTTCTAGTTTGAAAAAGAAGCTTGAGGCAAAACTAGAAACAAAATATTTTGAGTGTCAGATCTGAAAACCACGTGGAATCTTTAAAACGATTTCAGCATTTTAACATTCTGCTCTTACTTCTGAACTCTTGCTGGTGGAAAGCAGCAGTAAATCCGGAGCTGTCCTTACCCATACTCAGAATGCACAGTTAGGTAGGGCATCTTGAAATTTGGGGCACCACTGGGCCTTATTGTCCCCCCCGGTGCCTCTTCCTGTCCCTGCTCTGCTTCCTCTGGAGAGGATCTAGTTCACTTAAAAGTGAAAACGTCTGCCAGGCCTATTAACAGAACCAGTGAAAGAGTAATGAAGGGTAATGAGGACATTTGCCAACCCCATGTCATTTTCTGAATTTACTGTATTAGTCTACTGTATTAGGACCTTAGTTTACACCAGTTGAGAAGAGCCCAGATTGTCTCAACAGAGGAATCCTGTAGCACTATGCTGGGGCATTAGAGCAGTACAAAGTCAAAGGCTGGGGTGTTATTAACTAAATCACCCACACCACCTCTTGCAGTACATGGCTTTTCCTTGAATGTTTTCTATTCACCTGCCCACCAGACTAACTTTTGCTTGTTCCATGATGCAACAATTCCCTAGTTGGGGAATTGAAAATTTATGAATGGAAATGTTTTTATTGATGTGAAGTTCAAGTTACTATAAAGTTTGCAAAAGTTTTGGGGGGGTTCACTGCAGCACATGTGTGAAGTGAAAGGCCCACCTTCTGGATAGATAATAAAGACACCATATTTAGCTCACGATGCCCAAGAATCATAAGTTTAAAAACAACCAAAAACTAGATTGGGATAACTTGTTCTTCCTTCCTCCAACCCTCCTCATTTTAATGCCGTGAACTAACACTTGTTTAAAATATTTTAAAGATATTTTAACTAGTTTTGACTTTTCTCAGTAACATTATGGGAATAAAGTTGCATGTATCTTACCGAGGGACGTAGTGGAATCTCAATCCCTAGAGGTGTTTAAGTCCCAGCTTGACAAAGCCCTGGCTGGGATGATTTAGTTGGGGTTGGTCCTGCTTTGGGCAGAGGGTTGGACTCAATGAGCTTCTGAGGTCTCTTCCAGCCCTAGGATTCTGTGATCCCAATAATACCTAGGTCAAACTAGCTGCCAAGAAATGATCACAGTAAATTAATAGGGAGTAACTTCTACAGCACAGAAGAATTCTGCTCAAGACTTGTCAATATTAAGGAAATTTGCACTGGGATAACTATATCAATGTACAAACCACTACAAACTCTTAAAGTAGATGTATTGCACCAGAATAAATCAGGGTTTATGCTCCTCCCTTTTACATCAATAAGAATATAAAGAATGGCCATATTGGATCAGAAAATGGTCCATCTAGCACAGTAGCCTGTTGGGCAATGCCAGATACTTCAGAGGGAATGAACAGAAGAGGACAATTATTGAGAGATCCGTCCCATGTCACCCACTCCTAGCCTTTGGCTGTCAGAGAATTAGGAACATAGGGTGGCCAATAGCCATTGATGGACCTACCCTCCATGGACCTATCTATCCTCCAAGAACTCATCTAATTCTGTTTAAACCCAGTTAGACTTTTGACTTTCACAACATCTGCAGGTTGACTATGCAAATTTGTGTGAAGTTTGTTTTAAACCTGATGCCTATTAATTTGGCTGGGTAACCGATGGTTCTTCTGTTTCATTGGGGTTACTAACATTTCTTTAATCACCTCATTCATAATTTTATAGAAGTCTGTCATACTCCCCCCTCAATCATCTCTTTTCTAAGATGAACAGTTACAGTCTTTTAAAATCTCATCATATGGGAGTTGTCCATTCCCTTAGTTGTGTTTGTTGCCTTCTCTATACTTTTTCCAATTCTAAGGTATTTTTTAATGGAACAACCAGAACTGTACTTAGTATTCAAGGTGTGCATATACTTATTTATTTTTCCGTCTTTATATCTATCCTTTTGCTAATAGTTTCTAGCATTTTGATCGCTTTTTGACTGCTACAGTACATTGAGCAGATATTTTCAAAAACCTCTCCATCATCACTCCAACATTTCTTTTGAGAGTTGTAACAGCTAGTTTAGACCTCATCATTTTGTATGTACAGTTAGAATTATGTTTTTCAATGTGCATTACTTTGTACTTATCAGCATTGCATTTAATCTGCCATTTTGTTACCGGGTCACCTGGTTTTGTTTGATCCCTTTGTAACTCTCTGCAATCAGCTTTGGATTTAACTAAATTCAGTAATTTTGTATTATTTACAAACTTTTCCAACTCACTATTTACCCCCTTTTCCAGACTACTTAGGAAAATGTTCAACAGCACTATTTACCACTTTCCACTGTGAAAAGTGGCCATTTATTCCTTCCCTTTCTTCTCTTTTAATCACAGTGATAGATCCACAAGGAGACCTTCTTTCTTACCCCATGACATATGTTATCATGGTGCACTGCATTGGCATAAGCCTTACCTTGTGCCTGGGAAGGATGTTTACGTTGTAGACTTGCACTGATTTAATACTTTGATGTAGTTACACCAGTGTGAATTTTTAAGAAAGGCTCTGAGTCCAACAATCCATTGACCTTGCTTCCTAAGAGTTGTGTTGTGAATAGAAAATAAATAAGAGTTGCTAATGTGAAGTTTTTATCTGCTCAATTCATGTTTCAATGGAACAGTACCTAAAATTAAACCATCTTGAAATATCTAAAGAAGTTTTACAAGTGTAAAAACGGCCAGTGTTATTTCCTATAGCTCTGGATCATCATTGTAGTTTTGCCGAGGAACATGAATCCATGAAGACTTCAGCCTCTTGAGAGCAACTACTGATTTTTGTATTGTAGATGCTCTACATTAAGAAAAACAACAACCACCATTCAGTCTTGGTTTTTTGAATGTTTGTCAGAAAGTCAAAATATCCATCCATGAATTGAAATTTTTACTGAAATTTCAAATGTCCTTTGATGGCATTAAAAATGAGGTTTTGTCCTCAAATATGGTTAGACATTAGCCACTGACATTTCAAACGAATAGCTATAGTTTTTTCTAGTTGGCAATAACAGGAAGAAATATTACTGAAAAACAAAACACAAAATTGGGAAAGGAACCTCCCTTTACTCACCCATAGATCATTGCTCCACAATGTAAATACAAACCTAAACCTGACACAGCTAGCCACTGACATTTTAAGTGTGAATTGACAATGGACAAACTTCTATACCAGGCTGGTTTGCTCAGGAAAATGAGACATCTCCTTCCTGTTTTCCCCCCAAACATCAGGAAAAAAACATGAATTGGAATTTTTTTTCCTCGGGGGGAGTTGGCTTGAGATGCTGCTTATTTCTTTGCTGTAATAATCATACATATCTTACTGACAGCCATTTTTTGGCTTGGAACTTCCTGTCAATAAAGGAAGCTAACTGACTTAGCAACTGGCTGCCAAAAAGCAACAGCCCGTACAACTACTGCATATTTATGAGATGAGGGCTTGGAGCAGATTGAGCTTGGGCCACTTGGGGGCATGGTTGTAGGATGCCTCCTGGTGGACAATTCTTGTACCTTGTGGCAGTCGGTAGAATTGGTCTCACCAGCAAAGAAGGGGTCTGCAGGGAGAAAGCGACTCCTTTCCTGCTTTCCCTTTATAACCTCAAATGGGCCCCCCACAAAAACATAACATTAAGAACATGAGTATAATGCTGTATGTTGAATAAGGTTTAATTCATATTTATATAATGCCAGGATGGGCTTTAGTGTTATCTTTTCTCAGAAAAGACCATTGGGATAAAGTATAACCCAGGCCGTAAGATTTCCCTGTATTAATTCCTCTTCTCTTTCTTAAGGTAAACAGAGTGAGCTCCTTAAGTCTTTCATTAAAAACAATGTTTTCCAATCTAAGTAAGAATTTAACAGGAGAAATCCTGGTTTGATTAAAGTAATGGCAGAACTATTGACTTCAATGGCAAAAGGACATCACCCAACATATACATGTAAAAAAGGTGATGAAATGTACAGAATGCATACACTTCTGTGTTCACCAATTCTTACAGCATATTCTTGCAACCTGATGGCACAACTTTTTGAATGACAGTTAACACTTAACCCTGTTTCATCTTTGCAGAATTGCTCAGAAGCAGTGCTGTGTGTCCTACTTAAAAGAAAATAGCTGTGTTGCTGGCATGATTGCAGCCAAGGAAGGAGATATGTGTGGACCTGATGAAAGTGATACCTGTGGAGGATCTTTATATAAGGCAAGACCCCTTGGTATTTTTGCAAGTCCTTTTCTGATGCAGATGTATTTAGTGTTGTGCAAGCATGTTTAAAGGTGCTTTATATTTGTGTCATGGAGGTTAATTATTTATAAAGTTGCCTGGGTAAGGCATGGAAATCACTTTTAGCTGAATATATTCGTAGTTTGCATTCAGACCTCAATTGTGCCTGAGGGGCATAGATCTAAGTTGTAAAACTTTGTAATGAGGGTAATTTGTATGGTTTCTCTCTCATTGTTAAGACTAAACTTGCTGATGTATTATTGCCTTCTCCATTTGGAAGTGGTTGAGAGAAGTTGATTTCAGTTTTTATATCTGTAGTGTAATAGATTTTAGACAATGATAGGGGAAAGCTTAATCAAAGATATAGTTGGAAAGGCCCATTATGGAACAATTTGTCAGTTAGGAACATTATTGAATAGCAGTTTAATTTACCAGCTAAACAAAATATTTGAGAAGAAACACATATTTGGATTCCTATAAAGGCTTTTTCTCATAAATAAAGAAGGGCTATTAAAGGAGCTAAGCCAATTTACCCTGCCTAAGTATCCAGTCTCTTGTTCGTTATGCATATTTCTCCAATTTGGGCCTAAAGTGAAGGTTTCAGAACTCTTTAAACCAGGCCTGGGCAAAATACCCTCCACAGGCTGCCCTCCAAGCTGCCAGATCTGGCCCACAGACGCAGTGGGAAGCTTCAGGCAGACTCCCTGCCTGCCCACCACACACTGATGAGAAAAGCGGTCCTTGCTGGGTGCCGTTTGAATAGCTGTGAGCCCGCGGGAGGGAGGAGCAGCTTCATGTGCTGCCCCAGCTCTCAGCACAATCCCATTGGCAGGTTGTCAACAGGGAGCTTGCAAAGCACCCTTTCCCCCTCCGTTCAGGCTCATAACTGTTCAAAAACAATATAGTCTCTGCAGCCAGTGCAGGGGTGGGGGAGGCAGGGACTCTGCCTGAGGAGGCTGCTGGCTGGGAGTCAAGCAGGCAAGTTTCCCAGCCAGAGCCTGCTTCTGATACCCCAGCCCTTTCCCCCCCACCCTACGAATCCAAACCCTCTGCCCCCTCCTGCCCTCATATCCCCTCCCAGATCCTGTACCCCGATCCCCTGCCCTAGGTCACAACTCAAACCCCTGCACCTCCTCCTGCACCCCAGTCACCTGCCCCAAGTCACAAAACCCTTCCTGCCCAAAGTCACAGCCCAAACCCCTCCACCGTCTCCTGCACCCTAGTCCCCTTTTGCAGATCACAGCCCCCTCTGGTCCTAGGTCAGAACCCAAACCCTCTAGCCCCCTTCTGCCTCCATATCCTCTCCCAGCTCCTGTACCCCAATCCCCTGCCCTATGTCGCAACCCAAACCCCTGCAGCTCCTCCTGGGCCTTAGTCCCCTTTTCCAAGTCACAACCCCCTCTTGCCCAAGGTCACCATCCAAACCCCTGCACCCTAGTCCTCTAACCCAGGTCACAACTGCCTTCTTCACCCAAACTCCCTCCCAGACCCCACACCCTCTCCTGCACCCCAGTCCCTTACTGAAAGCTCCCTTCTGCACCCAACCTCCATCCCAAACCCCACACCTTCTCCATTAATATGGAAGTGTGGTCCTTGACCACTTTCCAAATTCTTTGAATGGCTCTCTCATCAAAAATTATTGCCCACCCCTGCCTTAAACACTGATAAGAATTTGCATTCATGTTTGTAGACTCCAATGTATTTTCCCATTGTGTCAGCAGGTAACTTATTAGCTCTGTCTCTTTTTATTAGCTCTGTCTGTTGTAATTCAGCTGAGAGTGTTGCAAATAATGTGATGTGCTGGTAAATTGACCACTGTTGGAAGACAGGATACTGGGTTAGATGGACCTTTGGCCTGACCCAGTATGGCCATTCTTATGAAAAAATAAGGTCATCCACTGTACAGAGTTTAATTAGGCATATCATTTCTAGGGGATG